GTCAAATTGAACTTGTGCTTTAAAATTAGCTTCTGCTAGTTTTTCTATGGCATAAGCACTTTTGAAGTTGCGGAGCTAATTTTTGGGTTAGCGCTGCCCACCACTGTTTATTTGCTGTAAATCATGAGCAATTCTAAGTGAAACAGAATTAAAGATTAAATTTTAATAAGAATTACATGCATCTGATTTGTACTTTTGTTAAATGGTCTTAAAATAGCCCCTTTTTATAATTAATAAGGAAACTTAATTTATGATACGGTTGTTAAAACTCTGCGTTCAGATCCAAACATGACAAGTGTGGCTGTTAGAAGGAAGCTTAACAGAGAAGGGTTCATCTGTTTAATCTTCGTCCCCTGGTTGTGCGAGGAACAAAACACAAGTTAAAATGCAGTTTAGCYTGAAGGAGTTTCTCAATTATTAACAGATTCTGTGTGGAGGATTTTACATTAAAGCAAGCTGAAAAAAACAAAACTAAACTGTGATCCATCGACACATTCTAAGCTCCTAAATAACCCGATCAGAACTTTCATATTTTATTAGTTTTTTTATTAGAACGGGCGTGTTTTCAGTGCCAAGTTGGACGTATGAGACTTACACCTGCGTGATGTCCATGGTGAAGGTTCCGGACCAGGGCTGCAGCAGGAGGAAAGCCTTGAGAGTGAGGGCGGCCCGGGGGAGCAGCAGGTAGGGACACCACACAGCATCTGTGCACGTAACCCACAGTTAAACTGTATCACAAACAGGGGTGCAAGAAAATAYCGATACACTGAAATATCGCGATATTTTAATTCCCGATACTGTATTGATTCTCTAAAGCACTGTTGATATTTAATTAAGGGGGGGTTATGTATTTWCCARGCAWATAGTTCATTTCTGCCTCRTTAAAAACACACTCAGAGTGTTGATTTGACTCATTCAGGCATGTTTCAGGAATCCGTGAATCCCTGTGGCAGACATGTGGAGCTGCCTAAACGCGTACTGATACAAAGCTCCACCTATTTACACAAAGCTCCACCTATTTGTACAAAGCTCCACCTATTTGTACAAAGCTCCGCCTATTTATACAAAGCTCCGCATATTTGTGCAAAGCTCCACCTATTTGTACAAAGCTCCACCTATTTGTACAAAGCTCCTCCCTTTAGCTCAGTCTGCAGCCGAGCTACCGCTCCACAGAGCACCCCTCCCCTGAAGCATTGTTGTGAAGACGTGCTGAAGTGGGAGTGTCTGAAACGGTAAGAGTTTTAGGCGTTTAGATACGCTGTGAAGCAAAATCATTGTTATTTTTGATACAAACAGCTTTTTATGAACAACTGAAGCTAACATAGTTATGATWTTGTTAGGGCTGCAACAGTACAGAAGATTCACGCTTTGGTTCAGTTTGATGTTTTAGTCTAACGGTTCGATATTATTCGATACAAAAAAGAGAAATGTCCATGTCCTCCTTAACTTGTAATTTATTTAAATTAATTCTGAACATTTTTTTAACCTCAAAAGTACAGTTTTTAAATTAAACGTTGCTGAAACAGCAGTTTTCTCAGTAGATCTGTGCTCCACAATGCAGCATAGGTAGAGTAGTTGAGCACAGATCCACTGATCCTTCAACACAGAGCATCTTTAGAAGACGAGCTGATAAAATAAATTTAAATAATCTGTATTGATCCATACATAGTGTGTATTGATCCATACATAGTGTGTATTGATCCATACATAGTGTGTATTGAACCGTTCCATACAGATCCATGGATTGTTGCATCCCTAGTGATTGTGGTATAGAACTGAATTATGTGCCTGGAAAACACATAATATCCCTCCTTTTAAATGAGATTTTTTTGAGAAAAAATGGCAATATATCACCTTATCGCAATACAGTATATTGTGATATATCATATTGCGACCCTGTGTCATGATATGCATCATACCCCCAAATTCTTACCAATACACAACCCTAATCAGAAATATTAGAATGTGGCTTTTGACCTGAGTTGCATTAAGTGCAACTAATGATCAGTAGTTAGGCTGATGGTCATCTATGAACAAATCAGGTTCCTAATGATAGTTAGGCTGAGAGTTTTGACTGTCATTGTTAAATTTGTGTGTCCACCATGTGAAAACACTGCTTAAGTCCTCAAACAAGTCTCTTGGAGGAGACAAAACTTTTTACAACTAACATTACCAGGCGGTCTCCCATTCAACAATTAACGAGGCCCAACCCTGCTCAGCTTCTGAGATCAAACCAGATCTTCTGTGTGTTCAGGGTGGTCCTACTCAACTTTTATTTAGATTTTCCTGGATTATTGCGATGCATCAGGAAGTAAAGTGTAACCATTTCTTGAAAACATTTCTAACTCTGAGACACCCGCCTCCCAGCTGTCCTCACCTGTCAGGTCCTGCTCATCCATTCGATAACTGGCAGACTTCATGGCCATCTCCAACACGCGGACGCAGCCGTCGTCCGACGCCAGAACCACCTTGTCCGACGTGCACCAGTCGATGTCTAAGATGCGGTAGTTCACATTGCGACCGAACCGTATGCTGCTGACCATCTGAACCTACAACACAGGAGAGCTGGGATTTTACATACTGTAATAAAAATCAGCTAACAATCTTGGTATCAAAATAAAGCAACACTTGGGAGATTTCATCAGAAGTGAAGTATTAAAACAGCTGCTCTGATTTTAGAGATATTGAAGATGGAACATATTACATTTTTTTTCACTCTCACCTGAATTATTTTTTCATTAGACATTATATAACCTATTTAAAACCATAATGAATCAGGCTAAAAACTCTTGGAAACCATAAATCCACTTGTGAACATCACCTGTGCAAAGATTCATGCTGCTAACATTAACTGGAGCAAAGTTACAGAGGTTTTAGTAAAGAAATAAGTTTGTCATTCTGCACAGGACAGACCATGTTGGTACTGTTAAATGTTAAGAAATCTGAAGATTTACATCCAAAATTTATTTATTTTTTCTTACCTGCCTTAAACACTTGTTATTGAATGTTTGTTCTTTTGAAAAATTATCCAAACATTTATTTTGTCACCATTTATATTATATAAAAT